TACCAAGTCCCACTATTTCCTTTACTTACCAAGTCCCACTATTTCCTTTACATACCAAGTCCCACTATTTCCTTCACATACCAAGTCCTACTGTTTCCTTCACATAGCTTCAACCCATTCCTTCATTTATTATCCAAATGAAAAGATTAAATCTAAGGCTCAAAAATGTTATTTGATTTTATCACATTTTTATACAAACTCACTGCCCATTGTGTGTTTTTTTCTTTCTGTGACGTCAGTCTTTGACTTTACACAATGACATAGCAAAGACGTTACGACATAGCAAAGATGTTACGGACACCTAATGGTATTAAACTCTTCAGATGACTTTTGCTTATTTACCATCGTTTTAAACAGCACTTGCGTGATAGGTGAGATAGTTCTTTTTTTTAAAACTTCAATTGCATGATAGGTCAGATGGTTCAATTTTTTTTATGGATCCTTATGATGTTTACAATGAAGATACATGATTTGCGTGCACATTTATTTAAATTGCTGACCTTAATTAATAATAGATTGTGTAATAAGTCAAAAAATTTTCTTTTCATTAATTTTTTTAAAATAAATATTTTTGAGGGCGAAAGTTCAGATATAATTTAGAGAAATGTCCGCATCTTACACAAATTTTGTGTGTTCTCATTAATCATTCCCCAACCCACCCCCACCCCAAAAAAACTCCATGCAAAATTTAGAAAATTTTAACAATGCTCACCTTCATGGCTAACTTTCCAGGAGGTGTTTGTTTGGGAGACTTGTCAAAATCCTTTTGTGACTTCTGAATTCTTAATTTTGTCAGCCAATCCACTTTAGGGGACTGGGGTTTGGACTTTCTACTCGTGGGTGTTATATTGCGCCCATACAATTCATCCAGCACTAAGTTGGGCAGGTCCCTCGTTGGTGAATTTAAGTCAACACTGTCGGCAATTCTCCTGGAAAGATCCTCTTTGTAAGGACTCTGAAAGTTATCTGCACAAACACCGGCGTCCTCACAGTTTTTAACGGGTTGGAGCTGAGACTGACCACAAGTAGATGGATCACTTTCATATTCAATGCTCGAGTTGGATTCTGCTTTCATGCAGCTTTCTTCAAGGGAAGACAGTTTTGAACTCACAGCAGATGGGTGAGATGGCTGATCCCACTTACTGGAAGAAGGGTTTAACTTTGTGGGTGACTTGTCTGAAAACAAAGAGACCCTAACACTAAAGCTAGGAGTGCTGTTGCCATTAGAGTCAAGCTGCATTAAACGTGGCCGCTTAGGAGAAATAACATATTCATCCATGTCAGAATTCACTCTGTGACAGGCCAACTTTTTTGGTGAATAGTTCTCATTCCTTTTGGCTGGGCTCCTTTTCTGTGGTGAGGTCATTTGATTTTTGGCCGTTTTTACAGGACTTGACACTTTTGTTAAACTTTCCACTATTTTATTGTCTTTAATGTCTGAGAATGTGTCTTTACTTTCCTTGTTCATGTCATTGGATGTGTTGCAAGTCCCAGTTTTTTGTCTTTTAGCAGAAGAAACCAGTTCACTGTTGCAACTCTCCATTCCTTTACATTTAATACAAGGGTCCACCGGACAATGTGACGAATCGGAAGATATTTCCGATTCATCGTGAGAACGCTTTTTACTTTGGGATGAATTTGTTGACACAGGAGATGACAGTCTTTCAGACTCCCCAGAAGACACTTCATCTGTGGAGACATTGCCCAATGTGGTGACTGAAGAACAGGCTGGTGGTTTTGTGTTTTCTAATGCCGGCAGAGCAGATTCTTGTCGGGATACTTTTCTCACCGGCTCCTCGGGATCTTGACCATGTGCACTGCCGTGTGACCTTCTCTTTAACCAATCGTAAATGCAAGCTGTAGGAGAAGCGGCAGACTTTGTCTTGGAAAGCTTTGGAACCGTTCCCGCGGTCGCCTGTTCTGTTTTGGGGTTTGCTGGTGATTGGCCAAGAATTTGGCTGTTGCTGGAGTTAGCTGATCAAAGTAGAAAAATGGCTAATTAATTACTGGGCACTTTTATTGTGTCTATTATTATAATTAGCTATTATTTTATATTAGTAAGAATTTTCATGTGTGGAACATCACATTCATTAAACACATAAGGAAAAATGCATGAGACTAAGGCGACTATACTGGTAATTAGGCACAACAAACTTAACATGAAGCCCTTTATCACATATAGAAAAATATTATGGATATGAAAACTGAAAATTTTGACCTCTGGGATAATTCAATACCAAACATGTACAAACCTCTTTTCATCAATGTCTTCTCCGCCTGACCGAAACATTCAGGGTGAAATTTTTGGTTCAGTTCCCGGCAGTAGATTCGCCAAAATTTTGTCTTGCTATCATCAGATAAGGTCACCAGCTGCAGTAGCAAGAATTGTGTTTAATTATTTTGGCAGCTTAAAGCAAACATTCAACATCTCAACAACAACAACAAAAAATCATGCGATTTTTAAAAAAAAATTTTTTTTAAGTAGTCAGTTCAAGCTTAATCCATGTCCAAAATTTTTTTATACTGATGTTAGCATACAATTAAAAAATAATTTTCTAAAACAGATTTTCCCATTCACAACATGTTTTTTCGTGTAAATTTTTTTGACTGACTTAAAATTCAAACCATCTATTTACCAACATAACTAGTTATAGCCCACCCAAAAAAGTCACTTGTAATGCGTGAATTTACAATCTACTTAAGTTACTGGACAAATATGCCTTCAAGTAATGCACTTTATAAGATTCCCAATTTAGTGCCCCCCCCCCCCATTAATACTGTAATGTTCCACCTCTTTTTACAAAGTAGATTTATTACACCAACTATTTCCATAAAACAAAAGAAAATATTGAGCACTTGCAGCATTTTTTAAGAATCTCATTTAGTGCAGTTATCTGGAATTTTATTTAGTGAAATCAAGACCATACGGCAGTGTTTGTTCTTTTGTTACAAAGAGAATTAAGTATTTTGATGATAATTTGGGATGAATACCAATGAATGGTTTACATTTGTTTTTGCATTGAATCAATAATAATAAAAAATTAATAACACATGCTCAAGACGAAGACACGTTGACTCTAAGACATTACAAGTGATTAGAAACAAGATGACTCAACGAGATTACAAACAAGATGACTCAACGAGATTACAAACTAGATGACTCTAAGAGATTACAAACTAGTTGACTCTAAGAGATTACAAACTAGATGACTCTAAGAGACTTCAAACTAGAGGACTCTAAGAGATTACAAACTAGATGACTCTAAGAGAGATTACAAACTAGATGACTCTAAGAGAGATTACAAACTAGATGACTCTAAGAGATTACAAACTAGTTGACTCAACGAGATTACAAACAAGATGACTCAACGAGATTACAAACTAGATGACTCTAAGAGATTACAAACTAGTTGACTCTAAGAGATTACAAACTAGATGACTCTAAGAGACTTCAAACTAGAGGACTCTGAGAGATTACAAACTAGATGACTCTAAGAGAGATTACAAACTAGATGACTCTAAGAGAGATTACAAACTAGATGACTCTAAGAGATTACAAACTAGATGACTCTGAGAGATTACAAACTAGATGACTCTAAGAGATTACAAACTAGATGACTCTAAGAGATTACAAACTAGATGACTCTAAGAGATTACAAACTAGATGACTCTAAGAGATTACAAACTAGTTGACTCTAAGAGATTACAAACTAGATGACTCTAAGAGACTTCAAACTAGAGGACTCTAAGAGATTACAAACTAGATGACTCTAAGAG